AACGACATGGCGGAAATCAATTCAGGAGAGGAGAGGAGTATGTTTACCTAGGACTAATTATCAAATTAGGTAGGTTAATCGACGGATCCAACTCCGTTGGGCACCGTTTGGAGGTTACGACTCTTCTTTTAGTCATGTACGCCTCAAAACTAGAACAAAAGGTGTGTACAACCACGGCGATAAGTCAATAAGTCAGCGGCGCCGGCAACGGCGTGCAAAGTAATACTAAATCTGTTAGTAACTTTAATGATTTGTGTATAATGGTCCTTACCTGTCTAAAATGACTTTTGTGTAGCCCAAGGCTTTCCTCAAGCCTGTTACTTAAGATTCTAGTTTGAGTGAAACAGAGTTAAAATTTGTAGCAACAGGAGTTAAAAGACCGCTACAGGTTGTAGAATTTCTCGATTTTTTTTTTATAAAAGCCTATAAGTTTTAAATACATAACATAAACATAAACACTCACGCCTGTCACCCAGAGGAGTAGGCAGAGACTATGGACTTCCATTTGGCACGATCCTGACACACCTCTATCGCTTCCTCCACATCCATATACCTACGCATACACGCTCGTCGGTTAAATGTACTCTTGATTTGGCCCATTTTCAATATATCGCCAATTTGGTCGATAAACTTTCGCCTAGGGCGTCCCTTCTCGACTCTGCCGTTCACCTCTGCAACATAAATTTGCTTTGTCACTCTTGCTACATGCCCAAACCACCGAAGCATTCCCTTCGTAATCCTGGTCACAACATCATCTTGCAAGCCACACTCTTCTCTTATCACACAATTTCTCACTCTGTTATTCAGATTCATTCCTAACATACTCCTTAATGATCGCATTTCTACAGCATTTATTCTACTCTCGTGCTTCTTCTGCCACACCCAACTTTCAATACCATACATTAAAGTTGGGACTAACACAGCATTGTGATTTGCCATAAGTGCCTTTTTGGACACATTCTGAATTCTCACAATAGGGTGTAGAGCCCCATTCACTCTATTTCCTGCGTTCACTCGTCGTTCTATATCCTTATCATATCTAATATCCCTGCTAAATACACATCCCAAATACACAAACTCATCTACTTGCTCGACCAACTCCTCTTCTATTCTTATTTCACATATCGTTCTACTTTCTTCTCTTTCAAAAACCATAACTTTCGTCTTACTTGCATTCACTTTCATTCCCTTTTCTTTTAATGTCCTGTTCATTAATGTAACCATAATTTGCAATTCGGCCGCCGACGATGCAAGTATGACTTGATCATCGGCGTGCAAAAGGCATTTGACGGTTAACTCACCCATTCTTAACCCGCATTCTTCTACTTTCAAATTTTCCAATCAACTGTCCATAAATAGGTTGAACAGCCATGGGGAAGCCACACAACCCTGTCTGACACCTTTATGGATGCCAAACCAGTCCGAGTAAGCCCCGTTGGTCCTGACACAAGCACTAGAGTCCCTATACAGAGACTTCAATGCCTGTATCAACCCAGCGCTCAACCCAAATGAGTACAGTGTTTGCCATAACACATTCCTGTCCACTCTGTCATAAGCCTTTTCCAAGTCCACGAACGCACAAAAAACTTTTTTGTTTTTGGCCAAAAACTTCTCCGCGACCATGCGCATGGAAAAGACCTGATCCGTACATGCCCATTCCCTTTCTAAATCCCGCTTGCACATCCCAAAACTTTCCATCAGTTTCTTTCATAACTCTTTCAATTAGTATATTAGTATACAGTTTTCCCACAATGCTAAGAAGGCTGATACCACGGTAGTTTTTACAGTCCTGCTATGATCCTTTTCCCTTATATATTGGGACTCTTACGGTTTTGCACCAGTCTCCCGGTACCCGCTTAAGTTCCCAACATAAATTAAACAAGGTGCACAGCAGGTCTGCCACCACTCTTTCACCAGCCCTCAGCATTTCGACAGATACTCTATCATATCCGGCTGCCTTACCTGCTTTCATACTTTTCATTGCTTTCATTATTTCATCTATACTTATGTCTCTATTTCCTCTTCTTTCGGAATTTTTATTTCATTTAATTCAAACGTCTCATCACTCATAAACACACTTTCAAAGTATTCCTTCCATCTCCTTAAACTCAAAGCTTCGTCATTCAGAATACAGCCATTCTGGTCTCGTATAGCATTCATTCTAGGCTGATTTGAATGTCCCCTGGCTGTTCTTACGAGTTTCCAGAACATTTTAATGTTTGCCTGCAAGTTATCCGATATTCTGCTATCATTCTTATCCGTTCTTTCTTGCTTTTTCCTTTCAACTACTTCTTTCTTTTACTCTCTTATTTAGATGTCTAAAGGCTGCCTTTTTCCTTTCATTACATACCGTTAGAATTACTAGACTTGGTTGCTAGTAAATCTAGCTAGTATGCTTACTTTTTTGCTTCAACTTCCATCCGTACCTCATTATCCCACCATAAAGTGTTATTTTTCCTTTCATTCGTTCTCTTACTCACACCACATACTTCGGTAGTTGCATCCACCAAACCTTTCTTGGCATTATACCACACAGTCTCCAAATCTAAATCATTCATACACAATTCAGCCATACCACTTATATTTTCTCTCAATCTACATTTGAACTTCTCTTTGACACCTTCATCTTGTAACCTCTCTGTTTTTATACGCTGTAACGCAGTGGTAAACACAGATGTCCGATGCTGCCAACGTCTGAAAAGACCATTAATTCGGCATAAAACCAGGTAATGGTCCGTCCCTACGTTAGGCCCCCGGTAAACCCTTGTATCCACCACCGCGCTCCTCATTCTTTCATCAACAATTATGAAATCTATCATGCTTCTATCATCACCTCTTTCCCATGTATACGTGTGAATCTTCTTATGACGAAAGGAAGTGTTCGTCACAAAAAGATTCTTTTCCACACATACGGTGAGAAGGCTTTCACCATTCTCATTTATACTTTCATCGCCAAACGTTCCCAATATACTTTCATAACCAAGCCCAACCCTTCCATTAAAATCTCCTAATATCACAATATTTTCATTAACCTTGCATTTCATTAGCACCATCCTTACCAACTCCCAAAACTGCTCTCGGATATAAGTGGGCTTATGCATGTCTGGGGCGTAGACGACCCCTAGAACAAACAACTTCTTTAAGCCCACTTTCATTCGTATCCATAGCAGTCTCGGGCTTACACATTCATACTCTTTCATACAATGACCCATTCTTTCTGAAAGGATGATACCAACTCCCTGGCATGCCCGCTCGGTCTCGTCTACACCAGACCAGTACGCGGTATACATGCCATGTGTAGTGGTAGTGGCATTCTTTCCCTTCCATTTCGTCTCATTTACACATAACACGTCTATTTTTCTATCATACATCATATCGCATACTTCATCCATCTTATCATTCATTGCTTCACATACATTCAACGTAGCCAGACGGGCCTCCGTAATCCACTTTTCGCCCCTCCGGGAGACAGAACGTGGCGGGTGGCGAACCTCGTCGCCGGTTTTCCTCCCGGAGATTCTTCGCAGCGGGAACTCGGGGCCATTTCGTAATTGTTTTGCCTCATGGTGCGAAAGTAGGGGTGGTATTTTTTACGCCGCTACCACACGGCGAGGAGCCGAGTCTGTTCTTTCGGCTTTGTCGCTTGTTTAGCACCACCCGGGGGACATGTGTAGTGTGGGCCTAGGATTAGGTTTAAATACGTAAAAAAATATTTTTTGCGAGCTATTATTTTACGTTAAAATTTGTAGCAACAGGAGTTATAAGACCATCACTAGTTGTAGAATTTCGCGATGTTTTTTATAAAAGAGCCTATAAGTTTTAAAATACATAAAAAAAAATTTTTTTGTGAACTATTATGACTTGACCTATCACTCGATTCCGGCTTGAGGTCGACTTCTGAGACAACCTGTATACTGAGTGGCGTTATCACATTAATAACATAGCGGTATGTACAGGTTCATATATGCCTGTTAAAATAATAAAATGAACAATTCTACCAAAAATAAAAAATGCATTTTTAAAACAAAATAAATGGCGTAAAAAATAAAAATTGACATGAAATAAATCACCTTGATAATATTAGTTTACTGACCTGAAGTGATCTGTAAAAGTGGCAACGGTGGGGCATGTGCGCAGTGCTCACGCGGCATCGATATAGTTAATTATTTACCTACACTTTCCCATTCATAGGTAATTAGGCAAAAAAACGAAAAAAAGGGCTATTGCGACTAGAATGTTAATATTTTTTAGTTGTGTATGTTCAAAGAAAGTTATGTAGGATAAGTATTTTCATTTAATATGATAAATTTATCGCCATCCCGTATGTAGTTTATGTATGCTCAATTTATAGTGTTGTGTAAGTATATACCGTTTATTACCTATGCATGCATATTTCATTCAACCAACACTTTATTAACATTATTTGTGACTCATGACATTATTGTACCACTTTAAAGGTTTCGTTTAAACCCAAAGATATAGAATGACATTAAATCCATCTATTGTGTATCTATTTATTTATTTGGTCAATATAGTACTAATAATAAACTTTGTACAAGTCGGGGCACATAAGACATGAGTCTAGTGTTGAACGAAACGTGGAGGGGACGCGCACGAATTGAATTGCACGAATGCGACTAGAGAGACGAAAGCACGAGCCAATCAGCGCGACTTATGCGCAATAACGATCACCGCTAGACTTACGTGCCGCGACATAATATATGTCACATTTTAATGAAAATATCCTATTATTATGTTCCACTCTGAGAGTACTAATGTAACTACATGCTCGGAGTTATAACATCTAAGCCCTCAGAGATTATTTTTTAAACTTGCTTATAGGTGTCAACGGTCAGCCTGACACTCCGCCTGATTGTAACTAGTCCTAAGTAGCAACGTAAGGCCAAGTGGAGTGTACCCAATTTGTAATTTTAATGTATATTAGTAAACATTATTTATTTTAGTTTCCTTTCTGTATGTGTTTCTTGTTGTTTTTTCAGCTTAAATGTCACACAAACCGACACCTTATAGCCCAAATTTTCCTCCTGGGCAAGGCTATATGTCACCAATGGAAAGAGAAAAGCAGAATGAAAGTTATCCAATGAATCCACAAGGAGGCTATCCTGGTCCTCCACCAAACCAAATGCCACAACCTGGACCAGCTCTACCACCAGGAGCACAGCCGCTGCCAGGAATGCCACCTGGTTTCCAACCTGGATATCAAGTAGGATTTCAGCCTGGCTATCAACCTGGATACCAACCTGGTTTTACGCCAGGCTATCCTCATCCACAATCTGGTTACCCTGCACCAGTCATGCAACAACCAGCACCTCAAGGCCCTCCCGGTAAATATTCATTCGTTTTATATCTCCTGTTGTAATTATGATGCGTACTGGCCACAGTCATTAGTAAATGCTATTAAAAAAAGTTTTGGAATATTGTTATTTTTTCCGAATTTCATGTTTTATGTAATTATTGCGTTCTTTCATACTGAGAAAAATTTTAGCCCACTTGAATTTGAGTTTGAAATGTTTTGTTTAAAATGTTGTCTTGACTACCTTGTTCATCGCGTTAGGTATGTGTAATCTAAATGCCTATTAAGTTGCTAAGGCTGTTACTTTAAACTTGAAACTAGGCGCACCTACCGTGACCGTGTAGTGGCGCTGTAAGAATATTCATCACCCCATATCCCGTGGGTGGCGTAAGAGACGACAGAGGGAAACAGATCAGGAAATGGGCAGTAGCGTCTTTATAATAACGACTAAAAATAAAAAGATTGAAAGAATTTATACTATGCACTCCTTTTATAACATACTCTGCAGCCGTACTTAGAATAAGAGTAAGTGGTTGCCGTGGTCCATAGAAATCTACATCTATCCTCGATTACGTATCAAAATGCAGATGCGTTGTCCCCCGTGAGGACTAAGATGGAATGCCTCGTTTAAAAAAGTAAAAAAGGGGCACCGGTTCTCCACGCTCATCATACGAAACACAGGCGCGTTAAGCTGCTATTTTACGCTGGTATTTTGTGAGAGCGTGGTCCTTCCCCGGTCGAGCCGACCCATTCGTGCTACAACTATACTACTAATATAGCTGCAGCATGGCTCTACCAGGTAAATACCTCGGATACCTTCAAGACGTTGAAATCAATGCTATGTGGTGGCCAGCGCGCTAGCCCGACTTAAACCCCATAGATCATGTATGAGATAAACTTGGAAGACAAATTAAGAAAAGATATCCTGGCCCCACTAATATGAGAGATCTTAAAAACGCATTTCAGGAAGAATGAAACGCTTCCAAGATTTTATTGATTACTTGATTAGAAGAATGCCAAGGAGACTAACAGACTAAAAGCAACACTAAATACTGATTATAGTATTTCTTTAGCATAATATAAACAATGAATAAAACGTTAAGTACAAAATGCTTATTATCAGTAATCTTTTTCTTTTTTCTTAATTTAGTTAATTTTTAACAAACGATCAACATTTGTTTTTTCATGTTTGCAATTTTAAATTAACGAATAATAAGCAAAAACCAAATTTATAAACTTAATGTATTTCTTCATATTAAAAATAATTGTATTTTAGAAATAAATTAAATACAATTACAACTGGCCAATGTGAGGCATTGGCCAGTTGTAATTTTTTTGTTATAACAGGTACAAAAAATTAAACTAAAATTTCCTGCATGGCCTGTCACAGAATTTTTAGCAAATAAGGTAAAAAGTATGCAAAAAAAAAATAAGTGTTCAATAATATAAAAATTAAGGAAAACTAATGACAAATTAAATTGTGATTAAGTTATGTACATTTAAAATTATAATTAAATCATAATTTGTTATTGTATATAATGACTTGATTAAAGACTTTTAATATGTTATTCCCGTAATTATAAATTGTTACCATTTACTCACATAGTGTGTGTGAAAATATATAATTTAGATTTAACTGGTGCCACTATATTATGTATGTAATGTATTTTATTTTCATTTGTTTGCCCTTGTCTGCTTTTCTATCATTAGACACAAATGAGTTAATGACTTCTCAGATAAGGTTGTTTACATTAATTTGATAGGTAACATACAATAAAGTGAACAGTAATATGCACTATTGTTGTATATAATCTGCAAAGTGCTTGTTGAAATTGTTGTTCAAATAATTTTTAATAACTGTTTTTATTATTGTAATTTTCCAATCTTATGTAGTTTTAATTTTTAATAAAATGCAGTGTGAAAGTTTAAGCCATCCATTTGATATTTTGTATGAAGATTTGTCAGAAAAAGATTTTAAATCAAATACAACTAAGTGGTCTACATATAAAAAATATTTTTATAAAAAGTGTAATGTTGAAAAATTCAAAAGAAGACAAACAGTCAATATTCAAACAATAAGTGTGGCAAGCACTAAAAGAGCACTGATTAAAATTTTTCAAAACATTTTTAAATCTCGTTGCACTGGTTATGAACAATTTTTATCAGAAGAGGAAAAGAGGTTTATTTGTGCTAAAAGCAATCGGGAATTGGTGGAGGATATTAGATATTAACATAACTTGTCTAATTCATTGCTTGCTCATATCTATAACTATTTTTGTATTGCTCATTTAAAGTTAAGTATATTGGTGAAGGTGGTAATATAATCATGCATAATGCATAAATTGCATAAATATATAATGTTACTTTGTTTTCTAATCGTAGTATTTAATAATATTTTTATTGTTTAAAAAATGCACTAATGAAATAAAATAAAAATAACGGGCAGTGGCGTTGTAAGAATATCCACTAGCCCAAATCATCCCGTGGGCGTCGCAAGAAGCTTCAGAGGGGGAAATAAATCAGGAGATGGGCAGCAATGTCTTCCTAATAACGACTAAAAGTAAAAACTGCGGTTGCCAATCCGCTTGCCAACCCGCTTGCCAAGCGTACATATGGCAAATATTTCCCATATGAAGCAATCTATAGAGGAGGCCTCTCTTCAGCAGTGGACTTTAATATGTAGTAATGGTAACGACAAAATATGCATATTGTTTCCAGGTGGATGGATGACTATTCCACGAGGGCTCAGCAATTGTCCACCAGGCTTGGAATACCTTTCTATGATTGATCAGTTGCTGGTGCATCAAAAAGTTGAATTACTAGAATCTTTTGTCGGATTCGAAACCAATAATAAATACACTGTGAAAAACAATATTGGCCAAAAAGTATATTTTGCTGTAGAAGACAATGATTGCTGTACTAGAAACTGTTGCGGTCCGATGCGTCCATTTGAAATGAAGATATTTGATAATTTTCAAAATGAGGTATTTAATCATATTTCACAAAATATTCTAGGTACATTGTTATACATAATTTTTTACTAATATAACAATTCCTAATATAGGGTTATTTCGCATTATACGCCGCACGATACGCAGAGAAGCTTTAAAATAAGTAATATTGGCGAATAGTAAAAAAAAAATTCTATCCTATTTAAATTCAGAATATGCGGTAATGCATTATTTTAACTGATTTGTCATTCATAAATATCTAACGCCTACTTTTTTACTACGTACGAACACACATTCGTAAGGGTCACTCGGTTACAAATTTGGGTACGCGTAGTTGTTGCCCATAAATTCTATTCAATTTGAGATAATTTCAAATAAAAGTTTATTTACTAGTACTCTTATTTTCAAAAACTGCAATAACGGTATATTATAATTTATATATTTGAACTTAGATATAAAATTGGATACTCTTTGAAAAATAACACTGTATATTAATTGTTGGTGCATCTGTTAGTGATCTTGTTACGTTTATGACTAATAAATCTTCCGCTAACCAGATGTCGCTAGTTGGATCTGAGGTAATGTTTTTGTTACACAATGTCATTTAATTGAAAATTTAGTTTTAAATAAACGTTTATCAGTTTCTAGAGTATTATAATAATATACACAAAACAAAGCCTCAGTAGTTTGCTCTTTAATTTTTTTGCACATTTTTAACTCTTTTTTTTTACTTTTATGAATATCTATGATTTGGTTTATTCATTGCTAATCTAATTAATATAAAATATAACTAACACTATAGAAAGAAACATTAACACTAACAATTACCTAACAAATTAAATTCCCTGCTATGAAATTTGTCAAAAATTTCACCTTACACCAAAGTGACGAGGCCCTGGTGGCAGAAAAAATTTTGGATGCCTTTTTAAAGCCATTTTTACACAATATACTTCAATACAATGGTTCTTAGATATGCTAAGATCCAATAGTTGGCGCTCTAGTCAAGTTATTAACAAAATATACGTTTGTTTAGTGTCAAAAAATGTCATAAAATCTGGATTCAAAAAGTGCCACTGTAGCTGAAGAAAGTAATAGTTTATATTAATTTCTTCGGCCCTTAAATTAAATTCGCTCATTAACTAACAGGGTAGGCCATTAATATAACGGCGACGATTAACTAACGGCCTGACTCACAGCCAGATGTAGGTAATAAACAAATGGCCTAGGATGGTTTGGCTTGGTTCAATGTTGTGCATTTAAATAATATTAGCCTGGTTAAATAGGCCTAGGCCATTTGTAGAATTTAGCATGATCTGAGCTTTTTGTTTCGACCTGAAAACCGTTTGGTATCTTACCGACAAGCGCAGTGTGTGCCTCCCATTAGATGGGGCGAGGACCTCCCAAGCAGCATGCAAGCTGTATACGAGCTGTATTGAAGTTCGTTTTATACCAGAAACTGTATTTTCTGGCTGTATAAGCGCTTATACAGTTCTTATAAGTAAAAAATTGGCATAAATTATGCAGCTTTATGCTTTTCTAGCGCTGTACAGTAGCTGTACAAGGATAAAAGAGGCTGTATAACTGCTGTATTACAGCTGTTATTTGGTGTGCAAGGAAACTATTACACTACAGAAATTGTCTTATAAGTAACTTATAAAGACAAACGTTCTAAATTGGTTTTTGAATGCGATTACAAATTAATATAAAACAAAAATAACGTTTATTGAATGATGGCGACATTTAATGTACCTATGTACATACATATATTTAACATATTATTATATTCGAACTTGAGTTGAGATTGACGATAATAATTGGTGAATTAAACGTGCCAAATTAGATTTACGGTAAACTTGTATATGTTTTTTAACGAAAAATTGCCGCGCCAGCAAAATAACAAAATAATATAAAGACAAAATACTAAATACGGTAACTAAATATTGGTTGTACAGGTTATAATAAAAAAAAATTAAAATAATGGATATGGTGGCACATCGAGGCACAGTGATCATTACTCAAACTGAAATAATGGTATAGGCTAAGACTAATGTCTAATATTCCCAAATTTATATTTTTAATTTTGTTTTTATGAGTTAAAATGGCGACAATTTGCTAAACAGCCTAAACACTATTTCGATGGTCTTATAGTCTTAGTAGCTGTACTATGTATGTTATGGATTATATTATGCAGCTATTAGTTTTTAATCAGTTCTATAATAGGATATTTTTATTACTTACGCTGTGTAGCAGCTTTTTTAACATAACATATAACTCTCTTTAGATATACGTATAAAAGACGAATAATCATGTCATGGAAATAGGGTTCGATAAATTTAATTTAGATTTAACATGGTATTTTTACTGCACCAAATCTTTTTCTTTTTTGCCACATATTGATAACAAATTAATTGTGTTCACTAGCACAATATAAACGCAGCGCATGCAAAATGGCGACATTCTGTTACTTTTTTTTTATAGAAGAGGGCGAAAACGAGCATGCGGCTCACCTGATGGTAAGTGACTACCGCCACCCATGAACAACCGCAACACCAGGGGAATTGCAGATGCGTTGCCGGCCTTTTCGAAAGGTGTAAGCTCTTTTCTTGAAGGTTCCTAAGTCGTATCGGTCCGGAAAATTCGCTGGTGGTAAATGATTCCACAAGGAAGTTGTGCGAGGGAGAAAACTTCTTCTAAATCGCATAGTGGTGGACCGCCAATCATCCAGATGGTATGGATGGTAACGCGAGTTTTGTCGCGATGTGCGATGGTGAAATTGAGCGGCTGGAATTTGTCCGAACAATTCCTCAGAGCACTCCCCGTGATAGATGCGATAAAATACGCAAAGAGATACAACATCTCTACGCAGTGCCAGTGTATCGAGCCGATCAGAAAGAACTCGGTCGTCGACGATTCGAACCGCTCTGCGCTGGATGCGGTCAAGTGGAAGGAGCTGGCACTGGGGTGCCCCGGCCCAGAGATGAGAACAGTATTCCATGTGGGGCCGAACTTGCGCTTTGTAAAGTCGCAAGCGATGTGCCGGCATGAAATACTGTCTCGCTCTGCTGAGCACGCCAAGCTTTTTAGAGGCCAATTTGGCCTTCCCTTTCAAGTGACCACGAAACTGCACACTATTCGATATGTCGACGCCAATGATTCCGATACTAGCTGAGGCAGCAAGGGGAGTGCCTTGAAACTGAGGAGATACGACAAAGGGGTTCTTTTTAGCGGTAAACGCGCAAACTTGTGTCTTCTGGGGATTGAACTGGACTAGATTTAGTCGGCCCCAATCCGAGACTTTGTTAAGCAAAAACTCGACTTCAGACTCAAGTTTGTCCCGGTACTCAGCGACGTTTTCCCGAGAAATATTGGTACGGCCGGTGTATAACGGCATCACCAGTGCTGTCGTCTGCATAGCAATGAATGCTACTAGTTAGCAACATATCATTGATATACAGGAGAAACAGCGTTGGTGACAGCACACAGCCTTGTGGAACACCAGCGTTGATAAGCTTGAAATCAGAGCATGCACCGTCTACTACGACCTTGATGCTCCGATCAGCAAGGAAACTGGTGAAGCCCATAGGAAGGAAGCTTCGAAAGAAGCGCTTTGTGCCAGACCCGATCGAAGGCCTTTGCTATGTCCAAACTAACGGCCAATGCCTCCCCCTTGGACTCTACTGCCTCCGCCCATCTATGAGTCAGATAGACTAGAAGATCATCAGCTGATCGACCTCGACGAAAACCGTACTGGCGGTCACTAATCAGCTGGTGATCCTCAAGGTACCTCATGAGCTGGCAGTTTATAATGGATTCCATTATTTTGGAGAACAAGGAGGTGATGGCAATAGGCCTGTAGTTGGACGGGTCTGAGCGGTCGCCTTTTTTAGGGATCGGGTAGACCAAAGCTGTCTTCCATGAATTCGGGACTACGCCTTGGGAGTAGGAGTATCGGAAAAGACGCGTTAAAACCGGTGCCAACTCCGGAGCACACGTCTTTAGCACAATGGGAGGGACTCCATCGGGCCCACTCGACTTGCTGACGTCCAGGGAGAAGAGTGCTTTGCGAACCGAGCGCTGTGTAAACCGAACATCCGGCATGGAGCACTCACATCGCGGGATGGTCGGCGGTGTGTTTCCCCCGTCATCTAGAGTCGAGTTGGACGCAAAAAGAGAGCTCAACAGATCGGCTTTCTCCTTTGCGGCATGGGCCAGTGAGTCGTCCTCCCTGTGCAGAGATGGAAGAGATGGCTGACAGAAGTTCCCTTAGACAGCCTTGGCGAGAGACCAGAATGCACGGGTTCCCGAAGGAAGGCGAATTAGCTTCTCGCCAATTCTGCTGATGTGCTCAAACCTTGCCTTGGCAATGACGCTTTTGAAGGACCTGGAGGCGGAATTATACTTCTTTTTAAGTGCGCTGGTGTTTACATCCCGAGACGTTGATGCGTCAGCCCAGGCCCGGTAGCACTCCTGCTTATAGCGTGATGCTATTTTACAGGAGCGACCAAACCATGGCTGGGATCTGCCTCCGATGGGCACCACAGAGGATGAAATAAAAAGTTCCATACCCTGAAGCACCACATCAGCAACAGAATCGGCAACAACGCTGGGATCTTCCGGCGAGAAGCAAACCCCCCAAGGGTACGATGCAAAAAAAGACCGCATCCATAATATATAGTGCCAAACACGGCGGCAAGCTGCAGATCGCAACTGCGATTGGAGCGTGAGTGGCACCGTACTCCAGATCAGACAATGGTCCGAAGAGCCCAGAGGGGCATCAACGGAGACCTGATATCCGTCCGGATGAGAGGTCAGCAGAAGGTCCGACAGGGAAGGTACATGGTCTTCCACATCTGGGATCCGCGTAGCCGAAGTAACCACTTGTGTTAGACCATATGCCAAAGCAAAGTCATAGACAGATCTACCCGCATGATCGGTTAAACGAGAACCAAGCCATTCAGCGTGGTGGGCGTTAAAATTACCGAGTATCACGATCTCTGCTGATGGGACCTGTTGTAGTACGGAGTCTGCAGCCATTTGGACGTGGTCGATGAGTCGGTCTGTGTCGGCATTACCGCTATGGGACCTATAGAGGCACCCGTAGACGCGGGGATGGTCGTCGCTGTCTACGCGCAGCCATAGGATGGACAGGTCCGTAACTTCAAGACTGCCGAGGCGTCGAAAACAGATGTCCTCTCTGACGTATACGCAAACTCCAGCCCGGGGCACAAAGGAGTGTTCCAATTTGTACCCCGGGTAGGAGAGATATGAAGTATCAGCCGGAGAGGACACCTGAGTCTCGGTTAAAAAGAGCAAGTGACAAGGGTCGCCTTGGTTGTATTGCTCCGCTTGCCCCGAGCAGCATTAGTCGCGAGCGGAATTTTGCCCCCCCCCCCCCCCCCCCCGAATACGTGGGGCAGCCTGAGCACCCACGCTCAGGAGTGAAGTAGTTTGGTCGTGGATGCTCAGCGAGGGATTCTCCAGGAGTGCTGGTACCCTCCTGGGGTAGTCTTTTATTTAATTCCACTACCATGTTGATGGGGGGGGGGGGGGGGGGGAATTGGGCCTCCGGCCACCTGCACTCACCAAGCGCAGAGGTAAACCTCTACTTCACGCTGGTATTCTGTGAGGTCGTGGTACCACCCCGGTTCGAGCTGGCCCATCCGTGCGACAGCAAAAGCTACCGCTTAGCTCTACCACTGTTAAAACAGATTTAAGTTGTTATACAGATTTACACTCATAGACAGAAGTCATAAAACTACTGTATTTACAAAAGTGTACAATGAAACCATAAGAATAAGTTTTAGAAGAGAGTTTGCATGCACCATTGTCCAGAAATAAGATTATAGTGATACTATAATAACACTTAGAGTTGTATAAGCAAGGGACAGCATGCAAACAGCTTTAATGATAAAATCAGTTTGAAGTGTTACAAAATACTTAAAGTTGTATACTGGAGATTTCATATTCTGATTAAGAACCCTAAGCTTATTTAGATCCCATAATACAGACTATACAGCTTGAGCTGTATAATAACTCATAAACCACTCTTATAAGGATATAACCTCTTTTCAACACTCTTATACGCATTTAAAAGAACTCTAAGTTCTATGTGGGCTGGTATATTGACGTTCATAATGCTTGTGTGCTGCTTGAGCTGGTAAGACATGCAGGGTGTCGATGGATGAGGTGAATCTACCAATGCTACCTATCTATCTATTCTATCTTTTATTTCCAGGTTATTCACCTTCATCGCCCTTTAGCTTGTGACTCCTGCTGGTGCCCGTGTTGGTTACAAAGCATGGAAGTTTCGGCTCCTCCAGGAACAGTTATTGGATCCATTGAACAAGAATGGTCTATCTGTAAACCTTGCTATGTTATCAAAAACTCAGCGGGTGACATTGTTTTAAGAATCAAAGGACCTCTTTGCACATACTCTATTTGCGGTAATGTTGAATTTAATGTAAGTATAGATAAATCATTGACTTTTGTATATAATAAAAATGTGATTTTTTTACATACTATGGTTATTGTGAACATACATTAACTATATGTTCATTAAAGCAAATCCACAAATTAATCCAAAATTGATCCACTTATTGATCCACCTCTTTATGTGATTTGATGCAGTCAAAGTCAACATATTTTTATTAAAATTGGCTTTTACAAAGCACTTCTTGATAGTCAAATGCTACAACGTCGCTACAACAAGTCCTTATTGCGGGGAAACCTTGTGAGAATAACTTAAAATTAAAAAATTTGTACAACCGACTTCAATTTAAATTGTTAAGAATAACTTAAAAACTATTGGTCTGACCATGATCAAATTTATATGGGACCACAAGAGAAGCACCAGCTTTCAAATAATAAAAGAATCATCGAAATTGGTTCACCCAGAAAAAAGTTATGAGGTAACACACATAAAAAAAAGAAAAACACAGTCGAATTGAAAACCTGCTCTCTTTGAAGTCGGTAGAAAAATGACAAGATACTCACAAGTAAGACTATTTTTCTCCCAACACACTTACAATTTGTGCTTTTAATGTTTAATATTTATAAATAAAATAAAGTCAAGGAAGTCATTATGTTCACCCATTCTTGTCTTTTAAATAGTCATCTAATTTATAATATCTATTCTTTCTAAGAGTGCTTTTTACGTGCGAGAAATTGGTTGATAGTGGTTGATTTTACCTTTTTTATACAACGGTTTTACAATAGAAATTATTTTTTAATTAAATATTAAATTGTCGGGAAATGTTCCAGTCAAAAATGATAAATTAATTAAATAGGGCATAATGTCATTAACAAGTTATTAAAATACGACTTCATTATCTTGGAATGGTATGAATTATTGATTTGATACTAGTGGTTGAAATACCCCAAAGATCTTAAGTATTTTATCATTAACAGTTTTAAAAGTTTTAGATATTATACCTAGTCAGGTCATAAATTCTGTCACATGTTTAATATAAAATAATTGAAACAAGTTTATTCATTATGTAACCATTTATATACCAAAATGAACTTAACAAAACATAGATTCTTATGACACTAAAGTTTATTCAAAATGACCTCCGTGATTTTGAATACAGGCCTTCAATCTGCGCGGCCAGTCGTCTATCGCAGCACGAACGAGGTCCATGTCAATATCGGCGGCTGCCTTAATCAAGGACGTCTTGAGTGACTCCAAATTGGGATGAGGCTTTGAGCACGCCTTTTCCTCGAAGTGTTGCTATATTTTGTAATCTAACGGATTCAAATCTGGGCTGGAGGAGCGCCAGTCTTCGTGCCGAATGAAGTCGATTTCACGCGCCGCCAGCCAGTCTTGTGTGCTCTTCGCTCTATGAGCTGGCGCCGAATCTTTTTGGAATACCCAGTGCCTGTTATTGAACATGGTATGAGAAACAGGTTCCACAAGGTTCGTCGGAACTGTATTTTGATACACAACTGCATTCGTTTTTACACCTTTCTCACAAAAATGTACCTCTGTTAAGCCCTAATAAGAAACTTCCAACCATACTAAGCCGTGTAGTGGCGGTCAAGAATATCCACTACCCCATATCCTCCCGTGGGTGTCGTAAAAGGCGACAAAGGGAAACAGGCAGGAGATGGGCAGCAGCATCTTCCTGATAATAGCCAAATTACAATAAAAAAACTGCGGTTGCCAACCCGCTCGCCAAGCGTGGCAACTATGGCAAATACCCCCCTATGAATGACAGTAACAAAGAAACGGCCCCCAGTCCCCGGCGGCCCCGCTATTCCTGGCTACGGTGGCGACCATGGTAACGGCGGGGCAGGGGGTGCTAAGAATCTCCGGTGGAGGTTCGGTTGCCACCTTAGACGACTCGACCTGGCAACGTACAACGCACGCACCCTGAGGACTGACGAGAAGATCGTGGAGCTGGAAGAAGAGATAGACAAGTTGCGCTGGCATATTATAGGATTATCCGAAGTCCGAAGAGAGGGGGAGGACACGGTAATCCTCGAATCCGGCAACTTGCTCTATCACCGGGAGGGCGACCATCTGTCCCAAGGAGGTGTCGGATTTATCGTCCACAAGTCTCTCGTTAACAACGTTGTAAAGATCGGGAGTGTGTCGACGAGGGTTGCGTACCTTATACTCAGAATCACCAAACGGTATTCGCTGAAGGTCATACAGGTTTACGCACCAACCTCGGCACACCCCGATGAGGAGGTGGAGGAAATGTATGAGGATATCTCTAGAGCCATGCATTCCTCCAAAACCCAATATACGGTGTTAATGGGAGACTTCAATGCAAAACTAGGCACAAGAGAGAACGGTGAGCTGAAAGTAGGGAAATTTGGAATAGGGCAACGGAACCCAAGGGGCCAGCAGCTGGCCGACTTCATGGAGAAAGAGGGACTCTTTATGATGAACTCTTTCTTCCAGAAGCGGCCCCACAGGAAGTGGACCTGGTCGAGCCCCGACGGTTCCACAAAAAATGAGATTGACTTCATTATGACGACCAGACGACAACTGTTCAGTGATGTCTCCGTGATCGCGAGGGTGAAAACTGGTAGCGATCACCGAATGGTTAGAGGCACACTGAACCTAAACGTTAAGTTGGAGAGGTCTCGTCTAATGAAGTCAACGCTCCGTCCCCCTCGTGCTCTGTTCCAAAGTCCCGAAACCTTTCAGCTCGAGTTACAAAACCGTTTTCAGTGCCTGGACGACTGCAATGAAGTGGACGATATGAATGACAAGCTCGTGGAAACTGTCCATGCGGTCGGAGCTAAGTTCTGCAAGACCCGCCGCAGAAGAACACAAAAACTCTCCGATCACACTCTTAATCTCATGGCTGTTAGACGGGAGATGAAGCTACATTCTTCAACAGACTTGACAGCATACAAGCATCTGAACAGACAGATCTCCAAATGCATGCGGCGGGACTTACGCAACTTCAATACAGCTCGTATTGAAGAAGCGATCGAGCGGAACCAAGGCTCCAAAGTCTTTGCCAGAGATCTGTCTGCCAGAAAGAGCCAACTGTCAAAGCTGAAGACAGAGTGTGGCAGCATCGTTTCCGGGACACCTGAGATTTTGAGTGAGATTGAGAGGTTCTATGGGCAGCTGTACACATCATCGTTGGAGCCACACGCAAGTGTGAGTAACGATCCAAGAGCGAGTCTCATCCGACACTATTCCGAAGATATCCCGGATGTCAGTCTGAGCGAGATTAGGATGGCTCTCCAGCACCTTAAAAACGGTAAGGCCCCAGGCGAGGATGGAATTACAGCGGAGCTTCTGAAAGCGGGTGGAAGACCGGTACTTGAAGTCCTTCAGAAGCTCTTTAATTCTGTCCTCCATGGTGGCATTACACCGGAGGCGTGGAGCAGAAGTGCGGTGGTCTTGTTCTTCAAGAAAGGTGACAACGCTCTCTTGAAGAACTACAGACCGATTTCCCTTCTGAGCCGCGTCTACGTGCTGTTTTCGAGAGTCATTACGAATCGTCTCGCGCGCAGACTTGACGACTTCCAGCCTCCCCAACAAGCCGGTTTCCGAAAGGGCTTTAGCACCATAGACCACATACATACCCTTCGGCAAGTTGTACAGAAGTCCGAAGAGTACAATTTGCCACTATGTCTGGCGTATGTGGACTATGAGAAAGCCTTTGATTCCGTCGAAATTTGGGCGGTGCTGCAGTCCCTTCAGCGGTGCCAAGTTGACTGTCGGTATATCGAAGTGTTGAAGTGCTTGTACAGTAGGGCTACGATGGCTATCCGAGTACAGAACCAGAATACGAAACCTATCCAATTGCAGAGAGGTGTAAGACAGGGTGACGTCATATCCCCGAAACTCTTCACCGCTGCATTGGAAGACGTTTTCAAGCTTCTGGACTGGAAAGGATACGGTATCAACATCAATGGCGAGTACATCACTCACCTTCGATTTGCCGACGATATAGTCCTTATGGCAGAATCGCTGGAGGACCTAAGCACTATGCTCAATGACCTCAATAGTGTTTCCCAACGGATAGGTCTTAAGATGAACATGGACAAAACAAAGATCATGTTTAATGTCCATGTCACACCTATGCCGGTAGTTGTTGGGAGCACTAAGCTCGAAGTTGTTGACGAGTATGTTTACCTGGGACAAATAGTCCGACTGGGTAAGTCCAACTTCGACCGAGAGGTCAATCGACGGATTCAACTCGGCTGGGCAGCGTTCGGGAAGCTACGACACATCTTCTCGTCAGACATACCTCAAAACCTTAAAACGAAGTTGTACAACCAGTGCGTGTTGCCAGTGATGACTTACGGAACTGAGACGTTGTCCTTCACTGCTGGCCGTATGAGGAAGCTCAAGGTCGCTCAGCGAGCTATGGAGAGGGCTATGCTCGGAGTTTCTCTGCGTAATAAACTTAGGAATGAGGATATCCGCAGTAGAACCAGAGTGACCGACATAGCCCAACGGATTAGTAAGCTGAAGTGGCAGTGGGCCGGCCATATAGCTCGAAGAACCGACAACCGATGGGGAAGAAAGGTTCTCGAGTGGCAGCCTCGTACCGGTAGGCGAAGTGTAGGGCGTCCCCCCACGAGATGGAGTGACGACCTGGTAAGACATGCAGGAAGTCGATGGATGCAGGTGGCTCAGGACCGTGCTTTGTGGCATTCTTTGGGGGAGGCCTATGTTCAGCAGTGGACTTGTGAAGGGCTGTAATGATGATGATAATGATGAACCATACCATGAGCGAGGATGGAAAATGACCTCGTTGGACACGCGGAATACGGTTGCTCGCTTCTTCACTACTGTGTGCGTACACCTTATCATTTTGTTTGTTGTAGCTCTCTTCCACGGTAAAAATTTTTTCATCCGAAAAAAGAATGTCCCGATATTTTATTCCCGCGTACCGCTTCAACAAAGTGCGGCATCTCTTCAGTCTCAGGTCCATTAGACGAGCATTCAAACGATGTCCTGTTTTTCTTCGATATGCCCGAAGC